CTCAAGTAGTGACCGCTTTCTAAAAGTTCATAACTACTATTGTTGGTCTATTCTGCCTCTCTCCACTCCCTCTTCCCCCTTCGGACAATCTACGTCTTACACGAAAAAAAAGAAGAGATAGTGTTGATGTGTTGACTTACCAGTTGAGAAAGGATGAAAGAAGCTCTTGCAAATCCAATCATTCAACAACAAGGAAATACGGAGCGAGGGACGAGAGGAGATGGAGAGGTAAAAGACTAAGAAAGATGCGAAGTACTGATGGGACTCGAAAAGTAATGGTGTAGACGGACGGACCTGAAGCGATAAACCAAGCCAAAAGTGTCTAAGGCTGTATAAGTCAAGACAACAAACTCAATCAAGGCCAAGTGATCTATTTGATTGGCCGTGAATACGGTTGTCGAGTCTGTTGGTTTTGATGGACATGCCTTCAAACTTACGGTTTTGGGAGTCGATCTCTGTGCCCATCAAGCGGGAGGTCAAGCCAGAGATCTCGTCGAGGTTGTTGTCCAACTCATCCTCCAACTCGTCGTCACTTTCGGTGTTCTCGAATTGGCACCGAGCCTTATCGGCCAATCTAGACCGTAATCCTCCGAGTGCTCCTTTCGGTTGATTTGGACCCCCTTGTCTAAAGCCTTCAAGGTTTCTGCGGTCCTCTGCCTAGATTCGTACGGTTGGCGACGAACTTCTTCTCGCTCAACCTTTTCCTCCTCGTGTCTTGATGTTAATTTCTGCTCGTGTGCGTCTCGTTTGCCTTTCTTGTTGAAGGTGAACGTCGGTTGTTCAAGGCAACGATCTCTTTCTGTTGGTCGTCAGCTCTGACGGCGTGTGCCTTGGCCAAATCCAGATGATTCTCCGTGTTGGCCAATCGGTCTAAGTTTGAGGTAATCAAGGAAGGCCAATCATTCTGATGGTGAGCATGCACGTAGATTAAAAGATAGAAACACGGATCGTAAAGACTAACCAGATTGTTCCCCAAGTCGGTTCATAGTATTACGAGCGGTTCCCTCGGCCTCTCTGGCGATCCTTAAGGCGTTACGAGTACTACTCAAGCTTTCCTGTTTGGCGAATTTGATCTGCTGCTTGATAGCCTCGACTTCTTCATCCTCATCATCGAGCTGATTTCCAGAGGTGTTGGAAAATAATTCTGACAGCAAGATGAATATGCAGAATGAGTGTCACGACCGCAGCAAATTCCGGTCCTTCACCTTCATGCCCAAGGCCCGCGGGTCTGACTTCCAACAGCACACCAGTTTTTTGCGTTCTACTCCGTCGAACACAATCGAGCCCTTAATCAACTTTCAACTTACGTCCCAAACTGCAAGTCCGGATTCCGAAACCCAACCATCGATTTAGATTCATCAGATTCAGGAGGAGCCTGGTTCAGACTCAAGTGGAGGTGCACCATACTCTTTCTCTTATTGTTCATGTCGTTTCTAATTTCTGCTATCTATTGTTTTCCCTTTATCTTTTCTTGCTTATAACTCTGTTATTGACTCATTTTATTCTTTCAGGCTTGTTTGTTCTTTACCTTTCTCCTATTTACAATCTTCAAAAAAAGAATCTATCTCAGGTTAAGTAAGGATCTGACATATAAGAAGGTACATAATTTCACTCCTTTATTGATGTACTTTCTTTATTTTCTTTATGACCTTTTATCTTCTTTTATTGATATTGTTTAAAACTTTTCCTTCATTTAGTGTTAACTACTACTAGCATTAGTTATATATTGCTGCAATAAAGTTATCAACCTCAAATTCCTACATGGTAGCGAGAGGCGAAACTTGGCAATATCTATTATAAGACTAGAGTTAGAACATTCGCAGTTTAGGCAAACGAAAGCATGGGGAACTCATCCGATAGTTCTGACGACGATCGAACGTCTCGATCATCCTTTCAAAAACTGAATCGACAAAACTGGTCGACCTGGAAGAAACGATTCGAGAATGTTGTCACCGCTAAGGGCTACGAAAACCTGATGAACACTGATTGGATTTCAAAAAACAAAAGCACTCCAGAGTATCGCAAGATGTCGGCTTGGGCGATGAATAAACTCTTCGCATCGGTTAAGGAGGAGCTCCATCCCGTTTTAACAGCGAACGATGGCGATGTGTATAGCTCGTTGGAAGCTTTAGCGAAAGCCTGTGGAGAAAAGTCCGTGATCGCTCTATGCGATAAACTCTTTACACTAATCAACAGCGTCTACACTCCGGAAACATCGTTGGCGAATCATCTGTCCGTTTTTCGAAAGAACTACACGGCTCTGACAACGTCGATCCTCGCCAATCCAAACTTTATGACCTGTACTTCAGGACTCGCCGCGGCCCTGTTATTGAGGAGTCTACATCAAGATGAAGGACTAACCCCATTGGTCCAATCACTTTACGACATGAAGCCGTTTACTTTTGAAAAAGTATACGACCGACTTTTGATTGAAGATACCCGCAAATCTAGTGCATTCGCCGAGTCCGCGTATTTCTCCAGTCAAAATCGAAGATTTGGAAAGAAGCCAATAGACGGTAACCACTCGATGTCTTCAACCCGAGGATCGTCGTCTACGCGAGGAAGTTATCGCGGAGGATCGTCTTCAAGAGGAGGCTTTAGAGGAGTGAAACCTACTCGACCAGCTCCAACTAGGTCCGAGGATGTTTCAAGCGACTTCGCGAAACAGTTTCGATCGCAAATGAAACTCTACATGAGTGGACAAGCCAATTTGGTCAACGAAGATTCAGACGTCAACGATGCCGAGCAAGAGACTGATGAAGACAACTTCATTGACTACCCTGAACTCGAAGGCTTCATGGTTTCTGATGAAATCAATGCCCATGGTATCCCCGATGCGCCTGAGAAGACGACTCTGATCTTTGATTCTGGGGCCTCGCGATCAACTCTCTGCGACTTTCATTTACTCGTGGATCCAAAGCCAGTCACTAAGGCTATCAACACTTACTCGGGCTCAATAAGCATCACTCACGTAGGGAAATTCAACATTGGGGGTGTACTTATCTATCCAGTGTTCTATGCTCCGAATGGTCCGAGAAATCTGATTTCAGCTACACAGTTGGAAGACCATGGACTGCGGGTGATTTTCAAGAATCGACTTGTCCTTATTCGACTGGGTGAGAAAGTTGTTTATCGATTTCCACGAGTGGGGAATTTGTACCAAGGAATAGCTCCACGATTGGGCACAGCAAACTACGTCCTGAATGTCTCAGCTCCAGATCCCAATCTCGACTATCACATTCTGCTCGGACATCCCTCTGACGAATATCTCCATCGATTTTTTCAGCTATACGACATAAATCCCAGCAATGATTGGCAGCTTGCAAAGAACTGTGAAATCTGCAAGAGCTGTAAACTCAAGCGGACCCCTCATTCCAATCCACTCCCAACTACAGATCGTCCCTTCAAGACTCTTCATATCGATGTTCTTCAAATCTCTCCGCCTGCAAAATCGTCGATGAAATATGTCTTGGTAATAATTGACGACTATTCAAGATTCAATAGGATATATCTCATGCGACACAAATCCGACTCTGAAGGAAAAATCCTGTCTTACGTCAATGAAATCATGAACAAGACGGGTAAGTGTCCTGCTATTATTCACACCGATCGTGGTGGAGAATTCAGCTCAAATGCTTTTCTTTCAAAATTGGAAAAACTAGGTATTCGAATTGAAGCTGGTCCTGCAAACAGCCCTCAGACAAATGGACTAGCTGAGCGATTCAACCAAACCCTCCTGGTCAAAATTCGATGTCTCCTAGCTCAGTCTTCGGTCCCTATCAACTTTTGGGATGAGGCAGCGAAATATGCCTCGATGCTCATCAACATTCTTCCATCGAAAGCATTGAATTGGACTTCACCGGTTAATGTCTTGTCAGAACTGAACTTGTGTATCGAACCAACGAGGGACATCAACAAATTGGTCCCATTTGGACTGAAGGTCTTTGTTTCCCATAAACCCCCTTCGAAAATTGAAGCACCGTCGAAACCGTTAATCTGTCTAGGCTATGAACCTCACTCGGATGCCCTACGATTCTTTGACTCTACTAAACGCCACATAGTTATCAGTCGAGATTTCACACCGACAAGATTGGTTTTCCCATACAACTCTTCCTCATCTCTCAAGAAACCTCCCGACACACTGCCTTGCGTAGTTCCTCAACCTCCTAAATCCTCCAGTGATCGTGTCTCAGTTACCGTCACTACATCCAAGCAACTTCCTCCAGTTGTGAACCAACCCACTTTGGCTCAGCAAGATCCACCGCCAAATCTCGATGATCATGCCACGACCAATGAAAACCAAACTGGTCATAGAGCAACCTCACCCACCCCGAATCTGAATGCTAGTTCCTCCGATCAACACCGATCTTCTCCTATTGACATTATTGCCCGATGCAAACAAGACCTGCCAAAGAAGGCCTCGACTTCGACTGGGAAGAAGAAGGGCTATGATTATGTTCCATCTGATCAGCCTCCGTCTAAGGAAATTGTTGGCGATATTGATACACGTAACATTGTCTCGGGAAGTCGACGTACTCGTGGTGTGAATCAGTCGACGAACTCTCAGATTCAATCGTCTGTTGAAGATCCACCAGAGGAGTTGCTGCTAGTTCAATTTGATCCTCCGGAGTACTTATTTCTCACTGAGAAAGTTACTATTCAGGAAGCTTTGTCTAATTCAACTGAGTTATCGGGTTGGCAAGAGGCCATGGCCAAAGAGTTCCACTCACTGAAATCAAAAAATACGGGTTCTCTCGTCCCTCCTCCAGGCGATGACAAAGTGATTGGTGGAATGTGGCTCTTGGGTAGAAAAAAGAATGAATTTGGAGATCTCCTACGTTTCAAAGCGCGATGGGTATGCTTTGGTAATCATCAAGTCCATATGCTTCACTACTTTGATACTTATGCATCTGTGGCGAGGAACGAATCATTCAAACTACTCCTGACGCTGGCGGTTAACCGACGATGGACTGTCTTTCAATTCGACGTTGAGACAGCTTTCTTGTACGGTGAGATTGATGCTCCGGTGTATGTTGCGCAAGTGCAGGGCTTTGAAGAGGACGGCAAGGAAGACTGGGTGTGGAAACTCAACAAATCCCTCTACGGCACAAAACAGGCTCCTCGGCAGTGGCGTAAACACCTTGTTGGTACTCTTACTGAACTTGGACTCGAATCATCGCCGCTGGATGAATCTTTGTTTTACACTTCTGATCGATCGGTATTGTTGCATATGCATGTTGATGATGGGTTTGTTGTTGGACACTCACGGGATCAAGTGCTTCATCTTCTTGATGGAATTCGTAAGGTTTACTCGATCAAAGTCAAGGAAAAACCGACTCAACACCTTGGCTATACACTTGACTGGAAGGAGGATGGTTCCGTACACATCAATCAAGCCGACTTTACAGAAAAATACTGTTCGACTTCAATATGAATGACGCTAATCCAGTCAAAGCGCCGGCGCCAATGAACCTGCACAAGATAGTCGCTACTGATGCTCCGCCCATTGAGCAGAAGTTATATCAAAAGGCAGTTGGGATGCTCAATTATCTAGCGCTTCACACTCGACCTGACATCACCTTTACAACCAATCTGCTTGCACAGTTCACCAGCAACCCCAACACTGCTCACTGGTCTGCGGTCAAGCACTTGCTCCGATATCTTCGAGGAACTAAATACTTTGGTATCCATTACACCCAGACTCTTGATCCGCACGAAGGTCTAGTTGGATGGGCAGATGCCGATTATGCAACCTCATTGGTCACCAAAAAATCTACGTCAGGATATGTAATCACAATGTATGGAAACCCGATTTGTTGGTCTGCTAAGAAACAACCAGTGGTGGCACAATCAACTACTGAAGCAGAATTCGTCGCAATCAATCGTTGTGCCAAACAGCTCAGATGGCTCACAAATCTGGTCTTAAATCTGCACATCAAGATCAAGGCTCCGATCATGAAGAACGACAATTCCGGAGCTGTCATCATTAGCAAAGAAGCTCAGTTAAATGAAAACACCAAACACATTGAAGTTCGTTTCCAATATGTGTTGGAATTGATTGACAAAAAACAGATGGAAATGCAGCAAGTCCCAACTCAGGATATGATTGCGGATGGATTAACCAAACCTCTGGGGTTCATCAAGGTTGAAGCGTCTCGATCTCAACTTCATCTTACTGAATCAGAATTAAGGAGGAGTGTTGGAAAATAATTCTGACAGCAAGATGAATATGCAGAATGAGTGTCACGACCGCAGCAAATTCCGGTCCTTCACCTTCATGCCCAAGGCCCGCGGGTCTGACTTCCAACAGCACACCAGTTTTTTGCGTTCTACTCCGTCGAACACAATCGAGCCCTTAATCAACTTTCAACTTACGTCCCAAACTGCAAGTCCGGATTCCGAAACCCAACCATCGATTTAGATTCATCAGATTCAGGAGGAGCCTGGTTCAGACTCAAGTGGAGGTGCACCATACTCTTTCTCTTATTGTTCATGTCGTTTCTAATTTCTGCTATCTATTGTTTTCCCTTTATCTTTTCTTGCTTATAACTCTGTTATTGACTCATTTTATTCTTTCAGGCTTGTTTGTTCTTTACCTTTCTCCTATTTACAATCTTCAAAAAAAGAATCTATCTCAGGTTAAGTAAGGATCTGACATATAAGAAGGTACATAATTTCACTCCTTTATTGATGTACTTTCTTTATTTTCTTTATGACCTTTTATCTTCTTTTATTGATATTGTTTAAAACTTTTCCTTCATTTAGTGTTAACTACTACTAGCATTAGTTATATATTGCTGCAATAAAGTTATCAACCTCAAATTCCTACAAGAGGATCCTGGTGGGCCATCCATGTCACGGTCGACGAATGATCTGTTGGGTGGACGCGCCCCTTTGAAGAGCTCTTGTCGGTTTGCATCCGGGTTCCCAGATCTGTCGTTGGCCATCGGTCGACCTGAGGAGGATGGACCAGCCGGGCTCCTGCTCGAGGATAACAAGTTTCGGTTTACGGGGGGGGGGGGGGCGCTCGGGCCTTGGGCTCCTCTACAGGTGGGATCTCGACAGCTTTCTTGCGACTGAACATCGTCGGCAGCTGTCAACTTTTGCAGGTGGATGTGGAGTGGTCAAGATGTCTGAGTTGAAGCTTTGAGGGGTTGTCGATGGATGGATAAGAAGGGTTATTGGGATGATGTATGAAGAGGATGAGGCTATTTAAAGAGTCCCTATTCCTCCTGTGAATTTTGAAAAGTTCAACCATCCACCACGCCACCACCCCCGATACAACACAACCTCAAAAACCATGAGGGGCCTGAAAATGTTAGAGTTAGCTTCAAATTGTGATTGCAGATAATCGGAAGGAGGAAGGGGTTGTGATGGTATTGGAATAAAATGGGCCATGTTATGTACGTGTTGGTGGGTGAGTGGGCTGTTCTGAATCGGTTCAAACATCTTGGTGTATTTATAATAAAATATTCCAAAAAAAACAAAGCCTTCTAAAAAAACACTCTTGACAATGCTCTTCAAAGGGCATGACTCGTGCAAAGAGCCATTTCACCTCAGGAAAGGCTCTGCTGTCGACTTGAAGCAGGGCAAAGATCAGGTTGGTACCTGCCGGTCGGCCCATTAAACGTCAATCCATGGCTCACCCAACTCAGGACATCCTGGTTGACTTGGATTTCAAGCCAACCCTGCCAGGCCCGTCAGCACGGTTGGCTTGACCTCCAAGTCAACCAGGGCGCTATTATCTGATGAATTGGTTTGTTGAGTTCAGCGGTTTGGACTTCATTCGCAGAACATATTACGCAGGGCAAGGAAGCGCAGGATGTGAGTAAATTTTTGAAGATCCATAGTATAGTCTTCTAGGGCGCAAGGACTTTGACGAGGATGCCATGACCCATTCTAGAGTCGGGGTCGATCAAGTTGATCAAGCCTGCAATCCAAGCTCCAACAACGGTATTGATCTCCGTTTTCTGGAACCGTCTGTAAGGTCCTCAGTGCTTCTCTACGTTTTGGGCTCATCTCCATTCCGTCTGCTGGGGCGACTAGGGAATAAAGACTCAAAGTAAAGCCTGAGAATAGGCCTCGTTTGTTTGTCAAGCACATACCCTACGACTAACGGCTGCATTATCAAAAGCTGTTTTCCAATATAGAACAGGGACACGTGAGACAAGAAGTGGTGTGTTTTTAATCAACAAAATTTTGGCGGAAAACATGTTCACAGTCTGAAGTGAAAGTTGATGGAGAAGTCCTGAGAACCACGTGACGTACCTTAGAAAATGTGCCCTGTTTGTTTGTTTTTTTCTGTTGTGGATGATCACAACTTGCCAAGGAATGAAATGCCAAAGGCCTACAACAACACATACCAGCAAGAAAAGGGAGATTTGAGCGAAATGCTCAGCGGAACTAGCGACAGACGGGCATGTACCTCTATCTTGGTTCTGCGATTTGGTGATGTCTGTGTTTGGTTTTCTTTCTTTCCTTTTCTACCCTTGATTTTTTCAATTTGAGAACCAACGATTAGATTCAGGAATGATACATGTTTATCACTCCAAAAGAACTGAAAATGAAGCCCATGTGAATTTCTGCGGAAACTGATTACTAAAACTAACAAGAGCTCAGGCTTCGTCAGATCGAAGAGAAGTAAAGGTCACAACAAAAGTTTTCAGAGAGCCAATGAGCCTACAAAATTGTAGGGTGGCATAGAGTGGTGATTGGAGCAGGGTACAAAAGAGCTGGGTACAAATGTCTTATCTGGAGGTATTGATGGATCAAGTCAACTTAGCCTTCAGGAGTGTCCAAACAACATAGACGATCTAACTATCCGTCTTTTTCTTGTCGATGTCGAAGCAAGCTATTCCAGCTGACCGCCGACAGGAAACTGGAAAATTTGGAGTTTTTCGAAAATATAGACGTTTGCAGCTTGGAGGAGGTGCTCTGGGCGCTGTCTGGTTTATCGATGAGTAAATCATAAACAATTTTAGTTTGTTTGCCATAGTGCATCACGAGAGGGGGAGGGGAGCACTCACCGGTCCGCGTTGTGGCATTATCGAGAGGGTAGGAGTCGTCCATGGGGGAATACGGCATGTCATTTGATGAAGTGCCTTCTGAGACCACAGCCATTGGACATAATGCTTGATTTCAGATACAGAACTCTATGGTGTAGATAAAAGTTATAGCTCACTGGTTTGATCACAATTCATGCCAACTAGTGCGTCTAGACCTGAAAAAGAGAACGAAGATAGACACTTCGCCCGACGCCGATGACTGGCTGGCATATTGGAGAAAGCAGCCTCATTCAACATGGGCATGCTCCGCGCCGATCTAAGTCTGGGGCCAATATCTTCCTTCGAAGCTGCATCCTCCTGGGGTTTGTCTGCCTCCTGGCGTGTATAATACTTCACTGGAACAAATAAAAAATCCCCATCAACGTTTTGTCGGCGGTGTGGTTTTGTCCGATCCGTCGAGTTAAAAACACTTACTTTCCTCGTAAGCAAACGCCTTGTCATTGATGCGAGGTTCAATGTACTTTTTAGCCCAAAGCTTCGTTCGTTGAACTCGTGACTTTCGCTGCAGGTTGGGGGACGAAGCGGTTGACCGGAAGAGAAGAGACTTGAGGGGCCGACGGCCTGAGGGACCGGAGGCTGATTGGAGTGCCTCACTACTTGTCATCTCCTTCATCAAGCGATGCTCATTACAGAGGGTAGCCACAAGCATTGAATCAAGATGTCTTTCCTGTAAGGGACTACTTTTAGCTGAAAGAAGAGGCTTGGTTGATGACCAGTGGTTAAGATGAAGATTAAATTAACATACACTGATCTTTGTTTCCGGATTTGTGAGTTCAGCCTGTCCGCTTGGCTGTCGTTTGGTATTGACGAAATCTAGGGGCTCATCAAGAAGATCATCCGGTTTACCGCAACAGTGAAAGCTCAAGTCGGAATCTTTCGATGAATTCTTCAAGCGGAAAAATTTCCTCGTGCGTTCCATAGTTCAAGTAATGGAGTAATCAAAATATCATGTCTGAAACGGATTCAGTTGATGCGTGGCAGAGCTGACAAGAGTCTTGTGTTCAGAGAAGACGGGAAAAAAAAAAGATTCTAGCATTATGTTTGGGTGCAGATGAGTTCAGCCAATGAGCCGTTGAGAAAGTCTCCTTGAGGGACCATGTCGAATGTTCGCCTAGCTTTCGCTATTGCCCCGGCAAAAATACTGCAAGAGAGAAATTCACTCGATTGTTACCGCTTCTTTTTGAAACGGCCGATGGTAAAAAAGGTTGGGTAGGGTTCAAACCCTATTTCAAACAGGGACAGGAAGAGATGCTGATATTAAGGTGTAAACATGTCACAACTCATTTCAGTAAGGAGTTGATCCTCCTTTCGACAAACAAATACCTCTCGGGCAACTGAGACGGAACAGATCAAGATGGGCAAGAATACCGGAAGTGGTGTGTCGACGATGAGCGTGAGTTCAGCTTCTCTGGGGAGAAGCGCGCCTCGACCCACTGGTAACCCCAATGACCTTGAATCTATGATCCTAAGGAAGGCGTGTTGTGTGTATGCAAAAGACGAGGTCACGAGGTCAGCGCGGATTGTTTTTTCTTCAAGCTTTGCCTCGACTGTATGCGCGTCGAAGCTTAGTTATTGAGATTGATGATCGCTTTGGCGATTTCCGCCTCCTCTGATCTGGAGTTTCAAGTTGTTAATGAAGGAAAGACACTTGGTCGTGTATCTGTGGTTCCCAAACAATTTTTACCTGAAGTGAAGGCTCCTACGTATTGAGGTATGCTCGACCTCTCAAATGACAATCTGTTTATCAAGTAAAAGTTGGGGGAAAAGGAGAGTTGAAATCTTCGAATAAGTTCAGTATCAACAACAATGTTTCTTCGATTGACAAGCGGGTCGAAGCAATTGCCGCCTCGAGCCTGATCAATGGAACTCAAAGTATCAAAAACTAAATATTTATACATAAGGATACATTATCGCCTACCAAATACTAAGATCCGCTTCGAATTACTAGAACTTTTCCTTTTGCTGTTTCTTAGGAGCTTCCAGTGCACGAGTAGGGTGTATAATCCATAGCCATTACACTCCAGATACTTCATCACGTCAAAACCAAACTTGAGGGGGCCTCCATCCGGGATCGAGAGGTAAGAGGTGGATCTTGGGCCTATTGCACCTAATTGTTTTCTTCGTATTGCTTTAAAAGTCGCCGGTAAATAGGCGAAGTGGTGGGTGAAGTGAAAAGAAGTTTTCCCCAACTTAGGCAACAATCTGGATCGAAGATGCGAGAAAGAACTAACACTTCATACCCTCAGGAAACAACGTCAAAGATAAGTCAGTCTGGCTGAAAAGGGTATCCAGAAAAGTGCTATAGTTCTGAAAAAAAAAATGACAAGCTGAAGCATTCTTAAGGTATTGTGCCAGTAGGAGAATGGAGTGCCTAAGCGAGAAGCCACTCTGGCTGGCAGAGCAGATCTCGCGCCGCGAGCACCTAGAACAGTAAGCTTACGTTGTGCTGTAGCACGAGAGGAGCTTCATGACGATGGAAGCGGTGAAAGGATCTCTCCGTGAAGTCCTGGAGCCTAGGGCCGAGTGAAACATGGCAGGTTCAACCTTCAAGCTTGAATAAACATGTCGACGGTTCCACTCACCGGTAATATTATTTCCAACTCTGTGAAATAGATCAAGCGTATACACGGGGGTTTTGCGACGACTATAACAGCTATAAGGCCGTTGAAATTTGCTTTGGGGTTGTGTTGAACTTGAAGCAACTGGGCCGACGACAGAAAGGGAGCGCTTAAGAGCGGGCAGAAACTAAGGAAGCACCGGAAAACTTGAAGACGTTCAGTAGTTGCCGAGACAAGTGTTGGACGAGAATTCATTGATGCTGGTTAGCTCAGTAGAGTGTTGTTGAGAATGGTACTTGCTAGCCGTGGCGCAGGCCGGCGGTAGAAGTAGCTAAAAGCTATTATAAGAGGATGAGATCGACGCAATGGCAAACTTCAGCCATTTTAGGTAGTTCAAGAAGAAAAACTTTACAAGCAATAATATATATTATGGAGTAGACATTCAGAATAAATGTTGCCCAGGGCAGAAAGTGATTTGATATTGGAAGACAGATTCTTGATTTGAGATACAAAATGGCCAAAGACTCGACTTGAGATGAAGAATATGGGCAGAAAGAATTCAGAAGCAGTTTTTCTAAAGAAAGGGCTACAAGTTCCAGTATGACTACGACACAAGATATCAAATAAAGAGAAGCACGATCTTTGGTTGAGAAATATCACTTAGCATTCAATGCGCCATCTGGTGGTGCCCATCGAGGATGAA